AATGTTTTCTTGTACATCATGAAAACGTTTCTACAAAACTATCTACGTAACAATAAATACATCAATGACATTGGATGATCGATGTGTCATATTGTGAATTGTTTAAAGGTGGAATTGCATCATAAATCACCTACATAGTAATTTTAATGGTTAAGAGTTCGCTGTGAAACCTAAAAGTCATTGAATCGATCCTTATTGGACTATTGGATGAACACTGCCGAATTATTCCATATTAGAATGAAATAGATATGCGATACCCTCTGGTTTTCAGTTTTACTTCGAATGAGATCAATCTGTGATGAAGCAAAATCTTCAGATTTAATTAAATTCTACAAAACTCCTTTAAATTCACACTGAGCTCATGAAGTAATTTTTATTTTCCAAGTTTGTATATTTGTTTGTTTTAATAAGAAAAATATTAGTCAATATGTAAATTATTTCATGAATTCATGAATTAGATATTTTGGAATATACATAGAAAGTACATTTGTAGGCAAGACTACAATTTACGGACGGACCAATCACGGATAAGATAATAGGTCTTGGAATTTTTTGCGCAAAATTTACTCATCCTTTTGGATAAATACAGTTTTGGCATTATAAATGATGTCAGTTCATGGTGAAAACTCGAAATCTAATTCCTAATCTTAATCATCAACTATAAATTATGATTATAATTCCTCACAAAGGTTCATAACCCTTATTTAGTCTTGATTAGTAAGCGAACACTCTCAAGGTCAGTCTAGCGTCACTCAAAGGTTGTCCATAAATTACAGTCTCACCATCTAATTCTTTTATGAAAGAATTTTTCGAGGAAAAAATATTTATTTCATTTCTCAAATAGAAAAATAGGTTTCCCCCCTCCCCATAAAACTAGGAAAAAAATCGAATATTGCTTAGTGAAATATCTTAATTGTTTAATTTTGTATCCAGCAAACTGTTGCATATACGCGGTCATTTTAATAAATAAATAATTTGAATAAATTAGTCTTTTGATTGATTACGTCATGGTCTTTTTTTAAAACTTGATTACTGCATATTTCATACAAAATTACATTTACAAACTATTTTTCTCATTGTGTATGTGGAAGATTATATATGATATATAATACTTCAGCGTATAAAATTCAACCTTCACCTACTCATAGTGTTCGGGGTAACAGTTGAAGTTATCTTATGAACCAACATGAATGGCTCAGTGGAAACCAGTCTAATCTACTAATTGTATCGAAAAAAAGTATTATGACTATGTACTCGCGCCGGATACACTGGTGGATCTATGATCATGTATATACTATGAAGTCCCTGACTTGTGTATTTTACGTATTTACTTAATGTTTAATTGTCAAAATAAACAGATGATGAGATAACAAATCAAGCGAGTGGATATCATCTTATTCCTCTTGATCATGGCAATTATATTTATGTGCTTGCCAAGAGTGCATATGTATAAAACACATACTTGCAAACATAAGTTCAACTAACCATAAATTGGGGTTTAAATATTAAATGGTTCCCTACTGAAAGTGTATGATGAATCCCACTATATGCACCACTAAAGTAAGTAAATATTATCCAAATGTGCTAATCAGGTTCCCGAAACGGCTTTATCAACTCTCATGGCTGAGCATCTCACAATACCCGCTCTTTCTTCTTTTAGAAAATGTTTATTAAAAAAAACTGTGTGCGTGGTTTGTTGACCGACATTAAAACGACTGTGATTTATTTTTCTACACCCCTACTGATAAATTTTGTAGGGACATGAAGAATTATTCGTCACTCAGAAGACTGATATCAATAATGAATTTAAACTACTATTGATTTAACGTAATTTGAATTTATGGTATATTACTATCAGGTAAAATATAACAAAATTAGGTAACTTCTAATCCTGATAAAGTATTTTAATGTTTGACAGTATGGAGTTGTAGGATTTATTGAATTTCATTGAAATCATGAACTGATCAACGTTAGGTCATCAGTGTGAACCTAGGCGCACTAGACAGCTGTTTATTCCCAGTATGGAACTACTCGGAAGTTTGCATCCACAATCCTGAAAATGGAAATTGAGCTCAAGACCTTTGGTCTTGTGTGCTAACGGTTGACCGGTAAATTATCAAGCCGGAATCCAGTGGTTTAAGAGCCTAACTTTAATCATTCCACGATAGTATGCTACCATCTTTCATTGTCTTCGGGGAGTAACTGCCTCACACCCGACACGGTTGAACTTCACTGATCATGGATTCTCACTAGAACTCCAATTATTGAACCTTGAAGCTGGTGGCTAGTGAACACATGAAAGTTAATCTGTATGTAATCCTAACTATCCAACTCAAATAAGTCAACTCTACCAGTTGAAATGTAAATTTTTTTCCATTATCTCAGAAAACCAATAAACAGTCTTCTTTAGATAACAATCTCTATTCATAATCATCACATCGTGTTATTAAATCACTTTCCAGTGAAATGTTATTTCTGAAAATTGAAAGTGAGTGAAATATTGTCAGGATGACATAAATAAGAGAATACGAGCCAATAAGGACTATTCATTTGAAAGAAATCTATGCAAAGATAAAATTTGGCTACGTTGATTTGCTTAAAAATAATTTTAATGTTAAACGATTAACGATTGCTTTTTGTTATTTCTTCCTATCTATTTATTATGTGTAATAATAGTAATAATAATAATAATAGCTGATGTCATCATCTTTAATACTATGATCAAACTTCATTGTAAACATATCGGCAACACAATTATCTACGTTTTTATTATTTAAACTGACCAATAATAATAAATTTGACTGTATCTGTCTATCTATTTATATGCATAAGGCTGTGTAAAAAGATATTTCTGATAATGAATCATAGTCGGTATAGGAATGTAGAGATTGCTGAGTTTCAATTGAGATCATGAATTAATCAATGTTAGACCACTATTGAAAACTTGGAAACGTGACTGGAACCTAGGACTTTCGGCCTCACGCTCAAGATACTGACAAATATTATATACTTACTACTGACCAGCTTCGAGAGATAATTACCTGAGTTCTAGTGAGAAGTCGTGACCAGTTCAGTTCAATAGTGTCAGGTGTGAGGCCATTACCCACCAAAGACAATGAAGGATGGTCGCGCAATATCGTGGATTGGTTGAAGTTAGACATTGACACCGTTGGATACTGGACAGCTCAGTGATCTAGAGATTAGGTGTTGGTATGTGAGAATGAATGCCCTGAGCTCGAGTCCAGTGTGAGGGATATTAAATGAAAACTATTGAGGAGTCCCATACTAAGACCAAATGGTTGTCCAGCGCTTATAAGTTCCCAATAGTGGTCTAGCTTGGATCGACTCGTGAATTCAACCACTAAGAAATATTTACTACAAACACAGACATTTGATTTCTCTGATTATGAACGTAAATGATTTATTCCAAAGGGTCATTGTGTCTGGTTTTTTATTTTACGCATAATGGAATGTGTAGTTCATTGCTTATATATTCCAAGAAAAATTTCCCAGTTCTTTTGAACAAATGTAAATTGGTTTTCTTTCTTTACCATAACTAGTTGTTTCTGTTTTCGTTTAATTATTTAAAATTATCGAAGTCATTCATTAAGTGTATCAACTTATCAGAATGGGTATTTGGGGAGACAGTGTTAATGTCCAACTCCAACCAATCAGTGATCTTGCTCAAGCCTTCATCTATTGTCTGAAGTGGAAAACTGTCTCACACCCGGAACGGTTGAACTCCACTCGTCATGGCTTCTTACTAGAACTCCAGTTAATCCATCTTGAAGTCAGTCACTAGTGAGCACATGATGATTATTATCAGGATGGGGATTTGTAGAGATTGTAGTATTCTCATAGTTTAATTCATGAGTCGATCTAAGGTATATTTAACAATACTGTTTGTTGAGTAATTTTCCCAAATGTCTATTTAATACATACATAACAAGTAAAGAGTTTTTATTTTTACCTAGTTCAATGATTTTCTGAAAAACATTATTAAACATCTCAAGTTAACAGAATATTCAAATCCATGAATTTTTATGCTTTGGCTACACATTTTCGTTAAGACACTATATAAGTAGTTTGTTTGATAAAAATGGTATGGTTTTCCTGTTGACTACCTCGAACCACCATCTAAATCTCAATACATAGTGCCCGCAGTGTCGAGTCACCTAGACTGGTGGCCACATTGCAACATGATCGATAGTATTCGATCTGCACTAATAAAGCCTAGACAAGCATGACATTGATCACCACCCAGTGATCAATCAATTGTGATGGTATGTTTTTCCTTTATTAATATACTTAGATATATGCTAAACTACGGAAAAATTCCCATACAATTGTTATAATCACAAGTCCTTTCCAGTAGCATAATTATTATCTTTACTATTATAACTATCATTATTATTATTATACAATGAAAAGGCATGAAACTTCTACTGGGTATATAGAGATATTAGTATTTACCAACTAACTGACATCATTCACTTGAAATAAGAAATTATTATTTTTTCCAAGATATTAAAATACCATATGTTAATTTAAATTAGTTTTACTCTATACTTTAATGAATTAAACAAAAAAAGAAAACACAATGCATGTGAATTAAATACTTTATCTAAAAAAAGTAACCTTGAAGAACGACCTTGAATATTACAATGGTTCATATTTCTACAGTCAATATCAACCACACCTATAGAAAAACATTTATTATTTAGTCAACAACTAATGACATAGTTCAGAAGGGATTTTTTGTGAAGATTGTAATAATTTAATGGTTGACTTCATGAATCAATTAAAGCTGCTGAAGAGTTCCGTACTAGGACGGAACGACCGTCTAGTGCTTCCAAGTTTTTCATGGTGGTCTAACTTTAACTGACTCATGAACTCAAATATAATATATATATATATAACAATTGACGGTTATTCATAAAATGTCCCTAGCTAAAACAAAATATATAATGAAATAAGAAATTTTAACTTTTTTTTCTCACCTCGGGTCATCGCCACATCAAACGACCAAGCATTGAGATGCTGGTCGTTTTAGAGGCTAATAATTAATAAATCCAATTAAAAAAAAGAAATAGATATTGTTGTATATACGTGTATGGGTGTATGTATGTATGTGTGTGTATATGCGTACTCAAGTAGAAAATGCAGAATAGGATATAATTACAAATGTCGATTTGTTAAAATTAATCACTCTTTAATGTCCACAAAAGATTGTTTTAAACAATCTTTGTAAGTAGTATACATTGAAAGTTTGTATAGAATTTGATAATTATTTTATTTATTTAGTTAGTTTCTTTCTTTTTTTTTCTTTATTTTTTAATAAATAAAGATCATGATATTTTTGATATCCAACATTGATTTATCATTTTAATAAATCAATATTACTCGAAATAGATTGTGTGTGCGTGTGTGTGTGTTGTTGTTATTGTTGTTATTATCGTTTTTTTATATTTTTCATCATAGAAACTAAAGAATATTACAGTAAATTCATTTGTCTATTTATTTTTTTCCCTTGATTCTAAATGTTGTCTAAAATATTTAAGTGTTACAATAATACTGATGGATAAATTTAATATATATATATATATTTAATGATCCATAGGGTAAGTGGACATTATCAACATTATCATCATTATTATCTATTCAGTTTATAGAAATACACTAGTGTTTCATTGAAATAATTGTCATTTAGTAACAATTCTCATCATATGAGTATGATAATCAGTAATGATAATAACAGTGATCATTACACTAATATGAATTTAGTATATTTAAGATTTTTTAAAAAAAAATTGTTTTTATAATTAAGAAAAGAAAATAGAAGGATAAATCCTCATTTTCAACAACCAATCTATTCTATTTATTATTAAATGATGCTGACTGGTTTTTACTTAATTTACCTGTCTGTATAACTATCTATGTAAAATGACCTGTCTGTAATCTGATTCGTTTATATTTTGGATTATAAAAACAAAAAAGAAAAGTAAAGAAAAGAAAAGAAACTATAGTAGGTATCATTTAAACGATGACCAGACAATCCAATTGTACAATTGTGAACAGGCTAATATACATATATAATATAGTTATGCTTAATATTCAAATAAATTCACAAGCAAACAAAAGCAGTTATTATGCAGATATACATATGATAATGATGATGCACAATAATTATAATGATGTAGTAATAATCCAACTATATATTTGTGTATTGGATTTAATAATCGTTTGAAATTTCCCATTGTTAATTATGAAACTGAAGCTAATTAGTCTTTGTTGTCATATATGTATACTAAGCAGATTTAAAGTGGTGGTTGGAGGTAGTGAATAAGAAATTCTTGGACCTAGGTTTCATGTTATTTGATATTTGTCAGCAAGGTATAACTTTAGTCTTTAGGGAAATGATGCTCCTTGCTGGAATCGTTCCGTCGACACCAAGTTTCATAATTAGAGGTGTTATGACTGAGCTATTCGGGTCATGGTAATGTCTTTGACTATGAAGCTGGGTGATACCAGATCGAATTCATCGAAGAGCATTAATCTTCTTGAGATTATGGCTACACCTTGTTGATAAATGCCAAATACTATGAAATATAACTTCAGGATTTCCTGTCGATCACCGTTAACCACGACTTTGCATCTGAACATATTGCACGTGATATCGAATCAATTAGACTAGTGACCATAGTGCAACTTGATCGACAGAATTTTATCAACAGTAAGAGGAACTTAACATAAATGACACTGGTCATTACTCAGTGATCAAACAACTGTAAAACTCAAGTGAATTGTCTCGATACAGTCTTTTTTGTTACGAATTTTGACAAAGTTGCATTGTGGCTAGTAGTAAAACACAGTATGAGTATTTCACCCTAGTTGTCAATCATTAACTGGATTTAGCTTGGTTCTAGGGATATAGACCAATAGAAATCCAGTTATTAATAACAATAATCACAGAACATATCATAACCGTTAAATAATTTAGTGAATATCTGGATCCAATAGCTTAGTGGGATTTGAAAGAATAGACAATATGTCCCAGTATTAGTGTCAATGACAACATTGGGATGCAGGTATATTCAACTGGTGTATCCTAAACAGCAATGACCTCCATGCCTTGAATTCCACTACTAGTCACATGTAAAATAAACTAAAACTGGTAATGGATTTATATTTCCAAAAATCGACAGAAGTTCAGGTCTACTATACATTACTGAAGTTGAATGGATAGTTCTAGAGAATTTTTTTCAACACTTTGAATTTCAGTAAAAAACATTGTGAATTAATACCACATTTATCTATTAGTTGGTGTGTGGAATTTAATTATATTTAACCTCATTGTTGAATATAACGACAGATGCAACTTGAAATCCTTGATATTATGAGGTTTGGACTGATCAACAGAAACCTAAACACCGGATTTTGTACAAGCTGGAACCACTTAGTAAGGTGCTTCTATAATCTTAAGGAAATAATGCTTTCTATAGGATTCAATGTGAATCACCTTGTGTCTAAACAAATAGGAAACTGATTAGCACTTAGTAAAAACTCAATATCAATATCACAATTATTCATTAAGTTCTTCGCTCGAACCCCCTTGGGATAGCTCAATGGTAGCATCTCTAACCATGATAAGACGTTATGTTTATAAAAAATAGTTTGTTTTAAAGCAAGTAAAAATACAACAGGGAATATTATCAACAAATGACTTCATTTTAAATTCACTCTTGTCAAATACTATGATTGAGATAAGAGTCTTTCATGTAAACGCTATATTATTCAACTTAAGAAATGAATTATTATTAAGCCAGATTCATTGTGATAAAATGATGACAGTAAAATATTTGTTCATAGACATCTTACCTAAAAGCAGAAAGATCATTACATTGTCACTGTTTTGATGTGGTCTCAGTAAAAATTGTCAACTCAGTTATTACACTTTAAAAGATTCCCTTATATACAATATACACTAGTTTTAAAAGTATCTCACAGAGAAGGTAAAAAATACCACCCATATTTTAACTTAGTAAGTAGATAGTGATGGAATCCAGGACGTGCGTTTCGTCTTATTTGGGACTCTAGCTGAATCTACCTGCATCCAAGAGTTGATGTTCACACCATGACGTGAAGTGTGAATCCTGGATTTCACTCCTAGTCACCATCCATTTCTGTTTATAATGCTTGTGACTTAAAGAAAACATCGAGGCAGTTCGCAAAGGATACACATATTCAAATAAGAGACGGATCAATTGCAGGGTTAAACATCAATGCGAAGATTCAAACAAACAATACAAAAATGAACTAGTAAGTGAATGACTGACTTTTTTTCGTGTAATTTAATTTAATACTCAAATGATTATTCAGGAAATTTTTTTAAATTTGATATTTTTCCCTGTTCTAAAAGTTAATAAATAATGATTAATGAGAACAAAATTCAAATATTATATCATTTATACTGTACATATTCACGATAAATCTATCCTTCCACTTTAACAAGGCTAAATGACCAATTTATGTATTAAAAGTTTTTTTGTATTTGTCTGTTTGTTTATTATTTTTTCTTCCTTGATGTGGACTATAATGGAAAATGCTACAAAGGTGGACAACTAACTTCTCATGATGATCCCTTATATAAAAGGTGTGCAGGCGAATCCAGTTAAACAGAGCTGGGAAGGCTATCATAAATATTGAATCAAATAAATCAGTTAGTTATGGCAGTTAAGCTTTATAATATTTGTGAATTGTATTTAGACATTAAGTTATTGATTTATTAATGTCAACTACTACTGATAAGGCCACTAAAACCATCATAAAGAAGGTACAAGTATTTATAAATAATTGTCTTCGCAAGATACTCAATGTCCATTGGCCGGATGCAATCGGTAATAGCCTACTCTGGGACGGACAAACCAGTTTCCATCTGAGGAGGAAATTAGGAAAAAAAGCTCGAGATGGACAGGAAATACATTGAAGAATTCACCCAACTGCATCACGAGAAAAGCACTAACTTGGAATTCTTTATGGAAGCGGAAAACTGGGAGAGCAAAGAACACGTTGGATCAGGAATTGGAATCAGACATGGAAAGAATGAATAACAACTGGAAACAAGTGTAAATGATTGCTTGGAGCATAGTTGGATGGAGAATGTTGGTGGTCGGGCTGTGCTCTCCCACGAAGGGTAACAGGCGTAAGTAATTAAATAAGCGCTGAGTTCAGTTTATCGAGATTTGATTATTGATTAAATAAGCTAATTCAACATGTAACTCAGTTTATTCAGATATATTTTTGAATTATATTTTGTTTTATAATAAAACGTTCGTCCATAGTCTTCATCTTTCTATATGAATTGAGACATAAATGAATTTTTTACCATATTTAAAATAAACAAAACAAAACAGAAATAATTAAGAACGTATTACTGTTGGTATGGTTTAGGACTGAAAATGATTTATCATGAAATAGGACTAACGATTATACAGTTATGCATAATAATTAACGATATCCAAGGTTAACAGAACGAGCTATCATTTAATTGTGGAGAAATTTTAATCATTAACTTCTCTTTAAAGTATATTCTGATAACGTCATCATAGGACTACAATAAAAGCTTCACGACTAAATTTTTCCGCTCAAAGAATACATCTTCCAAACCTTCATCTATCATTTAGAATTGTAAATTTTAAAGTATTATTTTTGTTAGCGGAATATATATTGGATTAAAGCACGTTCCGTGTAGGATTATGTTTGAGCACTCTGATTGACTATTTCTTAACCAATCAGCTCTAGTGAATACTTGAAGAAGACTGAAAAACTATAATTTATTGACGGATCAATCAGATTGATGATAACAGGTGTTAGATTTGGGCGCGAAATTCATTCACCCATTTGGCTAGATAAGGTCTTGGCATTATAAGTGATGTCAGTTCGTGATGAAAACCCTAAATCTAATTCCTGACCCTAACCACCAACTGTAAATCATAATCCTTATTCTTCAA